ATTAAATAGTAAATGTGGCCATTTTTACTGCCCTCATGATGCTGTTTGACCCAGTCTAAGGTCTAGCTCAAGCTTGCTCACTCGCTGGTCGAATTCCAAACTTCAGATGAAGCTGCCATGCTTGAGCCAAGGTCAGTAACAGATCTATGCCTAGTAGTTAGAGACCACAGCCTTTAAGAACCCAGGTGTACATTTTTACAGGGAAAAAAAAAAAACAGTTTTCAGATAGTGGTCACAAAAAACTGGCTTATATTAAAGTAGACACTGTTATAGGTTGAATGTGCCTGGGAATGGCTATGAGGTCCCAGCCTTAGCCACAGAACCAGATTTATCTAGACCGGACTCCACCCACTGAGCAGGAGCTCCATGTTGCCTACAGAGCTCATTGCAGGAAGGTACACAACTTTCCCTTCTCTGTATCTCTCTTTTCCCCTTGCTGGGTGGCTTTCTGAATGTCGATTGCTCTTGAAAGTTCGGGCTTTTTAGAATGCAACAAGTTGCCTCAGGAACAACTGTTTTGAGGATTGGCAAACTATCCAGTCAGTCCTTCACTTTTGCAGAGCTGAGTCTCCAATGACTCCAAGCTGTCCCCTGTGCTTCATGGCATCTCACTGTCATCTTGTAGAATTCTCAAGTAGCAGGAGAGTGAGTGAGAGGCTAGCTTCTTAGGCAACTAGGAACAGTGGCTCTCCCACCATATTGTTTATTGTATAGCTTATTACTTCCACATCAGGTATCATTAGCTAACTATCTTAGGGTTTCCATTGCTGTGAAGACACACTATGACCATAACAACTCTTTGGCCAATTGCAATTCTCTCCATTGACTGCTGCCCACTGCAAAAAGAAGTTTCTTTGACCAAAGTTATCCTTGCAGTGTCTATGGGTTTGAACATAAATATTTAAGAGGCATGATCATTTAGCATGATCATTGTTTTTCTTTTCTGCCCTAGCACATATGACCAGGAATATGGCACCAGACATGAATGTCTTTCCTCTTGAGCAAGTCTCAAACCCCATAAGAAATTGGCTAGTGATCACTCAACAGTTGTACTAGTATTGCTCCAGTGAGTATATCATGGCTGGCAAGTTCATATTGTAGCATGCAGGCTCGAGCACTGACTAAGATCACTGACATCTTTTCTCTTCCAAAAGCCTCTGCAGTACCTTCTGTCACTCTGAAAGGTAGTCACCATGGAGGACATTTTGGTGGCAACCTCTGTATCAGAGGTGATTCCTGCATACTTCCTTTCTTTGTGGCACTGAGCACAGGTGAAAGAGTGAAAAACGAGAGCTTTAGATGTGTGAACAAAGAGAAAAGTTAAACCCTCAAAATCTCAGTCGCCTTGCCTTAAAAGTGGGCATAACCCAGGCCCCCTGGAGGTGGTTATATTAAATAATCTCTGAGAACTGCTTAGTACATGTCCTAACACTACCAAGGAAGAATCCAGTAAGTACTGGGGACAATGACAGTTGGTGGTATCTATGAATTCCTAAGCACTTAGGGATCACTAGGCAGTGGTCTAGATGCCAAGGTCATTAGGCAGCAAGCACAATGTCTGCTGTACAAATGCATGGGTTGCCAGGGAACAGAGATGTAGCAGAACACCTGGGGAGATACATTCATCAACCACCATTGAGGGAACACCTGTCAGGCACCAATAAACTACTGTACAAATGGCTGCAATTACAGCACCTTGCCCCTGATATCAGAAACAGTAAGTCTAGTGGAGGAGACAGTCACTAAATAAATCCCTGTGGTGTATTCTGGAAGGATTTGCTGTCCACTCGGTGTGTTTGCATGGAACAGGTTCCTGGGGGAGCTAGCCTGTGGTCATTTTTGGAGTGTCCACAGAACAAAGTTGGAAGGGCCATTGCTCTGTGCTATAGACACCATGATGGAAGGAGGGACTCTCAGGCAATAGGACACAGGATGAGTGTTTTAAACGTGATTCCCAGGAAGCTATAGGATAAGGAAGTGTGAGTTCATATGGATTTGGGAAAATGAGAAGACCCAGTGAAACTTCCCAAAGAAAATAAGCTGGTGAAGAACAAGCTGCCCTCACAATGGACATATTAAGAAGGGTTTGCAAGAAAGGCAGAGTGAGCCTAAGAACTGGCATCCAACTCAGAGGGATGAAAAAGAAATGGAGGCATGGATGGGTAGCAGAGACCTAGGGAGCCCCAGAGGAGGGGAGACTCCATAATGCAAGAGGCCAGGAAACTCAGTCCTAGCCTGGGCATGCCTGGAGAAGAAGGCAGAATCACTGTGCCTCCTCCCTGTGAAGAATGGAAGAGCAATGGGTGGAAGTGCCAACTCTGATGAGATCTTAACCAAGATGTCTCCTGGGGAAGACAAAGCACACCTGAGTCTAGAGATATGACATGAATACATCAGTGTGTGTGTGTGTGTGTGTGTGTGTGTGTGTGTGTGTGTGTGTGCGCATGTAAAGGCCAGGACAACCTCTGGTTTTGCTTCTCAGGAGCCATCCACTTTTCTTTGTGAGATATGGACTCTTGAGATATGATCTTATACTTGTGGGATGATTTATCTTCAAGTCCTAACTACATCATTTCCTTGCAAAAATTGCAGAAGATGCATTGAATAACTGGTACCTGTGGGTCTTCAACAGTGAGAGACATTTTATCAGACAGAATCAAGAAGACAGAATCAAGAGGGTAGAGGCAAAAGCCCCAGAGAAGGAAGGATGGAGAGTAGATTAAGTGTTCTCAGATCAGAGAGAATTGATTCCAGGTTGTCTCTTTTATTTATGCTCTGCACCTGTAGTTTAATATCTGTTACTTAAGTACTTAAAATAGCATTAATCTTTGCATAAATGAAAGTAGATGATGGCTTAATATTTTCTATGGATCAGATAATGAATTTTTAAAAAATGATCCCAACCCCCCACCTAAGAATCTGAGGAAATGGGTGAAGGACAAACCTGGGGCTGGTTTCTCTTTCCAGTTTTTAAGAAAGGTT